GTACTTGTGCGCCAAGGCCAGCCCGAGTCATGAAGGACTGGCTGATGAAGTTGCGAGTTGCGCCGCAATCTAGCAAGGCGTTGCAGGCCGCTTGCCCAATCTAAATGCAAACGTAGAGCAACGGTGCGTTGTTTTCTTCGTACCGTTGCGAGACAAACTCGCGGGCCACCTTGGCAACGTAGCCAAGCATGTCCCCCACCACGACTTCGTCTACCATCGACGAAGTTGGTGGTGCATGGAAGGAAAGATACTGGTGTAAGAGGGCGCATAGGGCTGCGCTTTGCGGCCCCGGAAGGTTGCCCGTCGTAGGGAGAGGAATCCAAGCGAAGTCCTCGGGCGTGAGCGGGTCCAAAGCCTCCTCGTTGAACACACTTGCCGAATCCCTTGATGAAGACGAACTGGCGGAAGAACCTTCGGACGGTGAGAAAGCCGCACATGTATCTTGTCCTTGAGAAGCATCCACTGAAAGAACGAGCCGGGCAGCGAAGTCTTCGAACGAACGTGGAAGACTCCTGACATCCGCATATGCCTTGGAAGAAAGGGCGGTCGTGCGCACAACCGCTTCCGATGGCGTCGAGGGAGGTGTCGAGTCACCCTCGGCGGCGCCTACTTTCCCTGATGGGGTTTCCCCTTGGTGGGGCAATGTGCAGCATCGTGGATGGTGTTGTTGCACCAAAGGCAGTAACGGTACTTGAGTCTCGTGCGATAAGAATTCGCCGAGAGTCCGTATTGTGCCCAAGGTTCGTCGGCGGCTGATCCGGTGCTCGGTGTAGAGGTGGACTGAGTCTTCGTCTTGTCGCGACCGTGATTGTTGCGCGGCCGGCCACCATCCCGGGCACCTGCCAACACTTCACCCTCGTTTGGTGTTGCAGCCTTAGTAGAAGTAATGCAAGCCACCTTTGGCTTGGGCTCAGTGCCGCTCGTCGTCGCGGAAGATCGGCTGACGTTGCGGGCTTCGATATTCGTGAGAATGATCCGTGACGCTGTGCTGAAAAGCTTGTCAGATGTGTCGAGTGTCTTTGCAATCTGCGTCAGCGCGTTTTGCARAGCTRGACACGAGCGCATGATAAACAAGTGCTTGATGGCGCGGAATGCGAGCGGAAGGTCAGGTGTGGAGGCGAGTCTTTGGAACTCGGTAATCCAATCATGACTGAGCAGTGTGTTCTGATGGAGCTTGTTGAGCTTGTCCATCGCTTGCAGGTTGGGCGGCTCCACTTGGAATCGCTTGTGTCAGGCGTCAGTCAACTCCTGCCAAGTGAGCTTCGTGTGCAATTCCGACACTGCTACACCGTGGCTGGTCAAGATGTTGTCCAGCCATGCTTCACACGCACCACCAGATCGGTGGTACAAGCACGGATGTCGATCGTTGTTCGGGACATGGTGCATGTCGAGCCTGAGAGTAAACTGGGGCCACCACGGGATCGGTTCCGTCTTGGACTGATCGCAGAAGACGGGAATGTCATCCAGCTTGGGTGGGCGCCGGGAGGATGCGGCGGCGGGCGTCACGGTGGCAGCAGCCTGGACCTGCRTCTCCAACTGCAAGTTCRTTGCTTGYTGCGACGTCCGGAAGTCCTGATGCACACGCTTGATGTTGCTGACGTCATCCTCCAAAACTTGCACACGGGTGGTAAGGGTGGAAGGCCCTGCGGCTGCTACAGCAACTGGTTGTTTCTCCAACGTCTGCAGCCGTGCGAGCATCTGGTCCACTGTCTGCTGCAGGTGAAGGATTTCCTCCTGCTGCAGAGCGAAGGTGGCCACGAGGTCGTGGGAGACCTGCGCAAGGGCTGACAGCCCTTTCTCAGTCTCCGGGGCCCCGTCTGCAGATGTCACTTCCACCCAATGTGCGGCCTCATCACCGATCACGGTCTCCCGCGTGAACAGTCGTTCTTGCTGGCGTGACCGGTGTTAGGCTGCCGCCTGCAGGTCTGCCTCTTCTTGACGAAGTCGGTCCTGTTCCTCCTTATGTCGCTTGGCCTCCTCCTCTTGTTCGAGCCGATTACGTTCCTTGGCCGCGGCGGCGGCCCTATCGTTGGCCTCCTGAATGAATGCCGCCAGGCGTTCCTCATAGGCCAAGAGGGATTCTCCCGCCTTCCGGTCCATGGCCTTGGTCTGTGATCGAGTGAGCAGTGTCATGCACTGCTGTGCCCGCAGCCGGAAGAGTCACCCGAGGGCCAATCTGATGGACTGGCCCAGTACCCGGACTGGAGGGGGAGGAATAGGTAGGAAGTAGACAAGTCGGAAGGATCGGACAGAGCCCAATTTGAACAGTTTACTAATCATAAAGAAGAAAAACAAAACTTTAAAATTCGAAAAAAGTATGTCCAATCCCACTAAGTACCGAAGGTGATGCAAAAAACAAATGTCAACCTTCGGTGCTCGGACTGCAGAGAATCAGAAAAGAAGGGTCTTTATAACTCGGAGTAGGAGTAGGTTGCAAACAGAAAAAAAATATCGGTTTTTTTTTTGAAAAAAAGAACGAAATTTGCAGACCTACGCAGTGAAAGTGTAGAGGGACAGTTTCGGAAAACGAATTGCGAAATTATCAAAATGCAAACATTTAACAATTAAACAAGGTAAAAAAAAAAAAAAAAAAAAAAAAAAAAAAAAAAAAAAAAAAAAAAAAAAAAATCTCGCAAAAAGAATTATCGGAACGGAAAAAAAATTTCGGACACCAAATTTCTCGAAAAAATAATTTTTCGGAAAAGAACAAGAATTTCTTGAAAAAAAAATTCTCGGAAAAAGAAATAATTTCTCAAAAAAAAAAAAAATCTTGAAAAAAGAAAAAATTCTCGGAAAAAAAAATAGTTCTTGGAAAAAGAAATAATTTCTCGGAAAAAAAATAAATAATAATTCTGGGAAATTTCCAAAATTAAATAAACAATTGCCAAATAATCAATCAACTTAATTAATCAATCAATCAATCAATTTATCAATCAATCAATCAATCAGTCAGTCTCAGAAGATTGCTGGTTGATTGATCGATTGTTCGATCAATCTCCTGATTGACTGATCAATCAATCGAAGATTGATTGGTGGCAAACCACCAATCCAATCAATCAATCGATTGATTGGTTGTTGCCAAGATTCATCGCACTAGCTCCGATACCACTTGTAACATATCAGAAAGTGAAATGCACTGAAAGCCTAGGATCTAGCAATGACGAAAGTGGCAACAACCAGCAGCATAGGTGCAACATTCACAAGG